TGAAAATAAGAATATAACCTTCTTTTCAATCAAAACTCAACTTTATGTAACCATCAACGAAGACAAAAAAAGTCGTGAACATGACTAAGTACCAGGGATAGCAAAAAAAACTCGTTCAACCCAAAATCCGTGGGGCCACCCCGAATGGGGCGGGTATTATCCACCTAATCGGGTAAACAGGAAGAGATGAGGCGAGAGTCATTGTCTCGAAGCGCGTATGAGGTGGGTACAGGAATCATAGTCCCGATCCCGATACCCGTCCGTTTAAAGTTAATTTTAAATTTAAATTTTTTATCTAACAAAAATAATAGATTTATTATNGTGGGGACGGGGCGAGGGTCCTTGCCCCGGGCCGGGTACGAGAATAATAGTCCCCGCCCCGCTACCCGTCCCGTTTAAAGTTAATTTTAAATTTAAGTTTTTTATCAAACAAAAATAATAGATTTATTATATTTTAAAGAAACATAAATTATTTTTAACAAATTGGTAAAAAAGTAATAATATTTACTAAGTAAAGATAAATGGGGCGACCTCGCCCCGCCCCATCCCGTCACATACCCGTCCCGTTGTCATTCATAAAAAGTAACGAAAGGTTCGAGAGTCAAATGTTAATAAGATTATATGGAAGACCCAAGTGCTAATATGTAAAAGTTGGAAACCTAAGTGCAATTTTCCCTCTAAGCAAAACAAATGTCAAAATCAAAATCAACTAACTACAAAATAACAAAATTTCGCTAGTTGTTTGATGGCTTCTTTACAAGCCGAAAACTTCCACTTCTCTTTAGAATTTTAATTAAAATTATGGGTCTTATTTTATTTCTTGAAGTTATCTATAATTCTAGTAAGTTTACGTAAACACGTTTTTGTCTCTCTATAATTATCATACTACCAACTTTTCAATAATATACACTATCATTTTTTTTTCAACCTTGTTTAATTTAATTTTGCATTTATTGAAAATTTATAACTAAATCTTCAACAAACACCCCAAGACTATACATTAAGTTACTGAAAAAAAAAATTACGAATTTCTTGTGTGGCAATTATTATTAAACCATAAGATGGAATAATTCAAAGTAATGATGGTCCAAACCTCAAGCCAAAAAAAACAAGTTGACATTATGCTTTCCACGTATGCGTATAGCCATCTCGTGGGAATATTTTTGTGGCACAACTTGTCCAAAACTATCAACATTTAAAACATTATAAACGGATTCTAAGGGATTTTCAAACAGAAATGTTTATGTTCCTCGGGATTGCAATTGTTAAACATAAAATTGTGAAGATCAAATCTCTATCTAACATTAATAGCTCACCTATATTTTGAAGAGATGATTGATAGCACATCCAAGGATGATTGGTCGATTATCAAGAGAATGAAGGTCGATCATCCTCACCACCTGATGCTACCAAAAATCGTACATGTTGATTCCTGAACTTGACGACTGAGAACGATGATCTTCCGGTACCTGAAACAGAGGAGTCGAAGTGTGTCATGTCGCCCCTCGATGCTTAAGTCTAAGAGAGAATTCATGAAAAAATGTATGCTGAAAATATTTTAAAACGTACCTAAATAATGAATTTGAGTGTTGTATTTATAGAGGTATGTAGTACATTCTTGGTAAGATTATGTTGTTGAAGTCCCTAGGAGTTTGCTAGGTTCGAGATTAAGACATGACCTCGAGGAGTTCCCAAGCTAACGGTAATGTTGTTCCCGAGAAGATATCCCGACGAGATTGATGTGGTGCGGATGTTATCTTTATGTGCCCGAGGATACACGTGCCCCAAGCTCAAGTGCCCGAGGATGTGAATGCAAAATTGGTGGGATAGGCAGCACTGCTCCTCAGATTAACATGGTCGGGTCATGCCTATATTGGGATCATCAGTGGCCCCCGTGCATCCATGACTGTGGCTCGATCTCGAGATTCGAGAATGTGATGCTCATTGCAACATAATAGGAGCGACCAGCTTTTGGAAAGCACTATCAGCCTTGAAAATAGGATTGATCAGCTATAAGATAGGACTGATCAGCCCTGAAATATGACTGATCAGCCTTTGGATTTGACAGAGGAGCTGTGAGACAACAAAGGTCCCACAGAAAGGGTGACACGTGGCCTCGATCTTCGAGCTGATGATGCCACGTAGCTAGGTTTGAAGGCCAAGATTAAGGGACATTTCGCCTTCTTTAATCCTATAAATACTCCCTTACCCCACCTCATTTTGTCACTTTTCACTCTTCAAACACTCTTTGGACCACCTCGAGTTTAGGATTAAGGTAAGAGCTCGTGCCCTTTAGATAATTTAAGTTTTTTTCTCTTTAAAGATGTATTCGGATAGTTCGTCGGGGTTGGGTTCAACACTCGAGGATGCTAGCCATTCTATAATCCACATGTCCTCTAGATACTAGGTCGGTTCTAACCAACCACGAGCTTAGAGGTCAATACAAAGAGCATGAGATAATATCTATAGAGATGGAGTTCGGGATTATGCCAGGGTGCGATATTAGGATACCCGAGCCTGAGGATAGCATAGTTAGCTATGGGAAGGGGAGTTAGTGATTTTCAGGGCGCTTTGAATGGGGGGTTTAGATGGCATCTTCATCCCTTCTTCATAGATTTCTTGGTCGAGCACTGCATGTGCCCTGGACAGCTCATCCCCAACGCATGGAAGATTATTATTTATATTTTTATAGCTTATAGGTGTTTGTCCATATGTCCAGGCTCGACCTCCTTAGGATGGTATTCGAGCTTAAGTCGTTACTTGGGCTATAATTGTTTTGTATATTTGTCAACCCGAGGTAGGTTTAGGATCCCCGAAATGTTGAGCTCCCTCAAGGGGTGGATGCAGAAATACTTTTTCATTCATCCTCAAGATCCTGATCACCCTTTTGGTCATCGGTGGACTATCCCAAACACTGCTTGATTTAAAAAGGGACGTGCTTATTTTGAAGTTTTAGAAAGGGATAGGCAGAGTTTGGAGGATCTCGAGCCTTTGTGTTATGACCTCGATGACATGCTCAGGGATGACATTCTATATCTAGCAAATGTGAAAGGACTTGAGGGTAGGGTTTAATTTCTTTTTTTGTTTATTCATCATTAAATCTCAACCATTCTTCGAGCTAACGAATTGTCACTTTGCAAAAGACATGACTTTCGATCCTCAAGCATTGCGATTGGCGGTGAGCCAAAATCCAAGATCCTACATACCAGGGCCTCAGGTTAGAAAAAAGGAAGAAGTGACCTCGAGAACATACACCCAAGGTGAGAAAAGGGCTAGGTGAGACATCTGGCCAACAATCTCGAGCTCGTGGTCAAG